CCAGGCAGCCTGCAAAGAGAGTGTACTCAGCTGGGAGCACGAAGCACAAGTGTTCTAGCCAGGAAACTCAAACTGCTCTTTACACCCTGCTTATGTCTGAGGCTAAAGCATTCTTCAAAGTCTCTGGAGAAATAAACCGTCTCTACCCAGATAAGTTGTCTGGCCCCTGATCATAAAAGTAATTCCCATGGTAGTACTGCAAGAGGAGTTTAACATGGATCAACACAGACAACATTGTGTCATGACAGCAGTCAAAACTGACTGCAACACTGCAGCTACAGCAAGAGAAAGAATCTGAAGTAGGTGGCTGCATGCTCACAGGGGATCACAAAATGTCTTTTCATATATGGATTCCTAAGGGTAATCAGAATACAAAGACACACAAAACCAGATGTACAACCAAAACCAGTAAGATAACTTGGTGCTATGTGGCTGCTACAGGACACAAAAAGAGATCTAAGAACCACATGAGCATTTTTTCTAACAATACCATTTTTTAGCTTTATGTGTCATGTAATAAGCAAAGAAATAATACAACATTAAATAAGTGTCAATATCAATGCCAATTGTGAACATAAGAGAAAATGTATAAAAGAAGTATAAATATATAAATGCTTCCTTCACCAAGAGCTGGACCTGTGCTTCTATGCTAACATGGATTACTCCATGTTATTTCAAAATGTCAAATCCCAAAAATAAGAGGAATGCTTTGAATTCCCTTTTTTAAAGCTAATTTGAAATACATGCAGAAAACTTTCAGTCATGAAATACCAATGCAGTGGTATTTGGTTAGTAACAAAAATATATAGTAAATCTCTTTTAAAAAGTAATTATGCAGATTGACAGAGTGTCAATATGCCTTATTCATTAACAGCTATATAAAGAATAAATTATATAAAATTATCATTCTGTTGAGGTAAAAATAACTTAAAGATGATACAAAATAAAACAAATTATTGGAGAATAATGATAAAGTGATTAGATCTTTAAAAAAAAATCAGTTAATTACTTATGCTTTAGTCCATGTAAATACAAGTTGACAAGAATGCAGACCCAGTAAAAAATATTTCTTTCTTTGCAAGCCTTTAAAATTCACATATATTACATATATGAAAAAATCAGGATGTTCTAAACACAAAACCATTAATATTTTACCCCTTGGCTTGGTACCAGGTCATGACTTGAGTGTCCATCCTTCCTGTAATCCCTAATATAGTAACTGTACAGACAGCAAAAAGTGACTAACAGCTCTGAGCTTCATTAAACTCATACAACACAGACTAAGTGAGAGGTAATTACATGGATAGAAAGTGAAAGAAACATTTCCATGGGGTAGCCTGTGAACCATGCCAAGGGTAATACAAAGAGAGGAAACTATAAGTGTTCCATAAAACCCAAGTCCCCTAAGGCTATTATTTTATATACTGACAAAATTTACAGATTTTAGTTCCTGGCTTGATTTTTCCAAGATATATTGCATGCCTCCTTTGAAAATCAGACCTTCAAGATCATCTAGTCCAACCATCCCCCCAGTACTACCATGACCACCCCTGAACCATACAGATGCTCTTTCATCACTTCCAGAAATGATGACTTCACACATTGGCTGGGAAACTTATTTCCATGTCTAACTACTTTTTCAGTGGAAAAAAAAATATAATCTGAACCTCCCCCAGCACAGCTTAAGGCCATTTCTTCTCATCCATTCATTTGAGACATGGCAGAAGAAAGTGACCCCCATCTCACTACATCCTCCTTTCAGGCAGTTGTAGAGAGTGATGAGGTTTCCCCCTTAGCCTCTCCTTCTCTAGGCTAAACAGCCCCAGCTCCCTCAGCCATTCCTCATAAGACATATTTTCTAGACCATTTGCCAGTTCTGTTGCCTGTCTCCAGACATGCACCTCAATGTCCTTCTAGAAGTGAGGGGCCCAAAACTGAACACAGTACTTGAGGTGCGACCTCACCAGTGCCAAGTAAGGCGGGATAATCATGTCCCAAGTCCTGCTGGCCGCTGTTCTTGATACAGGCCAAGATGCCATTGGCCTCCTTGGCCACATCTTTCTAAAAAGACAATTGAACAGTGAGACAATAAAGCTCAACTAGATATTAAAGGACAGTAAGACTAAGCTACCATTGGGAAAATATCTTTCAAAAATTATTACTTCATCTATGACTCTTCCAGCTAATATTCCCACTACACAGATATTAATTACCTTTAGTTTTGCTCATCTGATACGTGTTATATATCGGGGAAATTATTTGTAACTTTCAAGTTAATTTCAATTATTTGTTACCTTTCAAGTTTTTTACCTTGTACACTGGAAGAAGAGATTGTATCCCTGAACATTTCTCTATTTCCTAGCCACATTACATAATCTGATAAAAGGAGGCTTGCACACCTTGCCTGTACTATGCTTTTACATGATTGCAAAGAAACATTTTTTAAAATTACTTCTTTGATAAGGTATTCAACATTTATCCATAAGAAAAATTCATATCAGTTGCCTGCCTTACTGTGGGATTAATGCTTTACACAAGACCCTATTTTTTACACTCTGACTATAAAAAGAACATGGGATAACTGCTCAGATTCAGAATATGACTTTTACATGCAAGGTCAATGTATTCAGAAAACTTTTCCAACCAGAAACTTGATCGCAGGAAGGCTTTTATTATGCCAAATTGTCAGTGGCTGTAACTTTACCGTTAAAAATAGAAAGGTAACAGCTAATACAAATTAACAGTGTTGCAATCATCAGACAGCAGTGACCAACCATGACCTGCCTCTTCCTGACCCCTTGAAATGCTGGAATTACTATTGTCTATAGAAAGCTCAACACTGACTTATGCTAGAGCAGGAAATATTTTAAAATAATGTCAAAATGTCAAAGCAGTCCAATTTCAGCAATTACTTTTATCATGGCTATATTCCTCTTTTGTGCAAACACTCTTGAGGTTTCTAGCTGCACTTCTGATATCCTATCACTCTCCAGTTATACGAATTATATTTCTTAGTTTTTATCTATCTGTACACATATACACGCACATGGAATAAATACATATATCTATTTCAAAGCCATTTCCTTTTAAAACACATGAACTTCAGGTTCATAAACTAAATTTTTTTTCTGTCAAACACCTGCCCCTAAGAATGTGACTCTTTCAGACTTAATACAAATTTCCCACTCTTGCTCAAATGTGTGTGCGAGGACATGAGCATGAAGATGTTACTCAACTTTTAACATGACAATTTTCTTGCAATCTTCTAGCATACAGAGATTCCAATGTGAGTACTAACTACTCAAAGTAGAAGACTACCTTCCATTCCATGAGTTGGCAGAAATAAATTAATTCTTCAGCACATAATTTAAAAAATGTATTTGAATATGTTCAAGGAGAAGGTGTTTATTGTAAGTGCTGCAACAATCTGTTTGTTTTCTGCACTAGATTCCTGCACTGATTTAGTAATTCACCATAAACTTTTAACTTTCCAACAAACTTTAACATGCAGGAAAGAAAAATATTTCAAAATTTCTCTTTTTGTTTTGTTTTAAAAAACAACATGATCAATTTCAGAAATATTTAAACTGGATAGTGTTTGCATAGTGTTATAATAGCTTGTAGTGTGGATGGACAAACAATCGGAAAAAGTACCTTAAAATATTCTATTGGAATGCAATCTTCTGCACAGAGAAAAATTCTGTGCTTTTTAAAAGCTATATTTTAAAATTGTTTGAAGAGTTATGCCTAAATATTTTTCCAGTACAAATGAATAATTATTCTAATAAGCAAAAACATATATGGGTGTCCTATTTTAAAAGCACATTGTGCTAAAAAAAAAAAAAAAAAAAAAAAACAAACCAAAAAAAACCAAACCAGAACAAAAAAAAAGCCCCCTCTTAAAAAAGGCAACCTTCCAAAAGATTCTCACAAACTTTTCTGTACACGAATATTAAAATCATTGAGTGGTCAAAATATGGATTCAACATGTTCACCCACTAGTGGAAACTCAGAAGAATGCACAATATGTCTCACCAGACAACGGTTTCAGATAATCCAATGCATTACAGATCATCAACAGATATAGAAGGATTTTAGACACAGGTTTTATGCTGTTTTGCTGGCTATTCTTTTATTTCTGATAAACTAATAAAGAAAAGAAATGTGCTGTGACATAGGAAATATTTATAACTAAATACATCAAAATATGGATTATGGAGTTAAAATCCAGAGAGGAAGACTGCACTGATCCTAGCAGAAACACTGCTGTTTTGAACTGTGTAGAGTTCTGTCTTTTCTTTTGATATACAAAAAGTCACTACTCTGCTGCCAGCCAGTGCACACTCCTACCACAGTTTCCACTGAACACAGATGTTCTTTCAAGTGTACATCTGAAATACTTTGCTGATATTAAAGATTCCAGGCAGAAATTGACTCATTAAAGCATGTGTCTTTTAGACTCAACTACCCTCCTCATCAACACCAAAATTGCTACTTTAAGTTCTGGGTGAAACACAGTCCAAATTGCCAGTAAGCTTTAAAAAAATACAAAGAGAAGGAAAAAAAAAAAAAAAATTACCAAAAAACCCAAGCACCTATACATTGATATGACCAATCAAGTTCCCTCCTAAGAGAAATACTATACAGAACAGATATAATAAACTGCTCTTGCTTGTTATTTAGTGGTGGCAAGAAATCAAAATATGCTTGGGGTAGTCATAATGACACTTGATTTGGGGAAACAAAAAAAATCTAAGATGCTGATATAATTTCAGAAGATATGCTTTTTAACCAAAATCCTCAGAATACATAGGGCACTAGTCCACTCACTGCAGAATATATATAAAAAGTATAAATATCTGAACCAACATTCAAATAAGTGCATATGTTTTTTCCTCCAAAATTAAAAGATTTTTATATAACATGATAAAGGAAAAAGAAAATAACCCAGAATTTAGTACTTCAACAAATGAGGTACAGAAAGTTACTGTAATACTTACCACTGTGAAATTCATAACCTTCAAAATCCATATTGTCATTGCTAAATTAACAATCATGGTAACCAACAGCAGAAGGACAAAGAAGTATAAGCACCTCTTTCGCCATCCATAAATCCCTACTGGGTAAAACTGAGGATGTTCAGTCCTTGGAAGGCTGTTCTGTTGTGTTGCTAATATATACTGCTCTCGTGTCATCTGGAAAAGAAAGATGTAAGTATAAGTAAGGAAATGAGAGGTCTGTTTTTCACATGTAATATTACATGAAAGTTATCTCAGAATGTAAAGAAAATCAGTTTCTGTGAGCACAGGAGGGATACATTCACCTAGCATTAGTCATATCAATGTTATTTGTACTGGGCATCTAGTATGAATTTGATGGATTCTTTGAATTTAAAGTAAACCTTTGGTTTCTATTTCAAACTGGATTTGTATTTCAAGTTTATCAACAAGAAACTATTAGAAATATAAAAGTAATCCATGCATGTATTTTACACTCTAATTCTTAATAATTTTTTATTGTCTTTTATGAGATCATTTAGCAAAATATGGTTCTGGAGAAAGAGAGTCATGTACCTTTTCTTTTGTACTGGTTTTGGCTGAGGTAAAAGTAATTTTCATATAGCTTGGAGCCAGTACACTCTTTTGTACAAATAGAAGAAAAATCTCATCTTTTTAAAATATATCTTTCATAAATGAAGCTTTCAGTCTTTTATTTTACTTAGCAAATTGAATTACTAATTGATGCTATTATACATGCCTCCTTATTTTACAAAAAAAAATAATTCTTTTGCCATTTAAGAGATGGATACAATTATTATCTTTGAATTCCTGAACTAGTTTAAATTCTTCTCACACACAAGCAAGCAGTAACCATTTGGAAACTACTTAAAGAACTTTCTATTAATACTTCCTTAAAACAAAAGTATTTATGCCATTTAATAAGAAACTTTCTTTTTTTTTTCCTCCACAATTGTCTTTCACAGATATTCATATTCAGCTGTCACTTTGCCTTTAGACCAAAAGGTATTAAATTTTCCCTGTGATTTAAAAATTAAATTAAAGCAGTATCATTCTGTTTATGCAAGAGTCCTTTCCATAATATGCCCATTAGAAATGTTGTTTTAATAGGCTTTGCGCTCAGGAGGAAGAAGACAATACAAAACAAAACAAGAAAATCCAAAACAAACAAACACAAATTCAACAAACTTATAAACCAGATAAAACAGTCAATTTTGAGCATAAAAGCTGCCTTTTTTTGACTAAAAAAAAAGTAAAAATGCACAAAAATGAGTCAGTCGATACAATGAGAAATAAAAACCAGATTACATTCATTTGAAGGATCAAAGAAGTGTTGATTTCATAATATTTTTAAAATGTGAAGCTCAAAAATGTTTATGTAATTATCTGTGTTGCTAGATATTTATCCAAATCAACACTTTTTAGGTTTCACCATTCTTCTAGTGAATGAGATATTAATGGAATAAATTATCTCACAGTGAATAATTAGAGCCATAAGTCATAGAACACACGTCCATATTGTGACAGTATATATATCACTGAAATAAGACAGAAATAAAGAATTTAATAAGCAGATTTTAAGTAAGTTAGCAAACAGGCATTTTGTCTTTTTTTTTCCAATAATGATTTCTTCTCTTTGCCCTCAATTTCAATTAAATGCAATGTTTAGTGGCTTATTTATGTGGTGAATTTTACAAGCAAAATTTCCATCAATGACATTTCTCAATCCTCCCAAAACAAGGTATGGCCAGGTTTTAAGAACTTGCATCATCTTTTATCATATGCTGGCAGTTTTCATCCTAATTCTGTGAAAATGCCTTATAAATCCAGAAACTGAGCACACAATTAGGTTAATCAACTTCCTCCTTATAATGATTTTCTACACATTTATTTAGTCAACCGTTGTAACAAAAAATGCAATGTATGATTAAACTTTGAGATTAAAAGTAACTGGTTAATTCTACACAGTTTCCATTTTCTTGATTTAACGTTATATATTACCTATGAAAAAAAAAATTCATTAGAAATAACTGGAAAGTCAACTTTCAGACCATGACAATGTCAGAAGTAGCACTATTCCTAAAACTGTGAACATAGTCCCATGGAACAGACCTTTGCAATGCAATCATTAAATACAATGGCATTTTATTCCATCACCACAGCCAGGCACCACTCAGTTCCCTCTGTATACTGTTCAACTCTGTGAGCCTTGGTGAAGCAAGCTCTGCTCCTGCAGCTCATGGAGAGCCATAGGGGAGCAGAAATCCACACCACAGCCTGTGGAAGATCCCATGCTGGAATAGCCTGAGAGGTGAGAGTTTGAGAGCCCATGCTGAAACAGAAGCCTGTCTGGACTTGTGAACCCATGGAAAGGAGCCCATACCTTCTGGAACATAACACTACTCCTAGACATTTTCATTACTGATTGATCTCTGCATATTATTCCTTTAATTCATAGAAAGAATGAAAATATATAGGTACTTTAAAATATATATTCAGAGTATAACAGCATCTAGACCCAATATTCATTTGAGTTGATAAGGAATTGGATGAGCTGTAGAGCTTCAGATACAGGAATGATAGCTAGCAAGGAAAATTCATCATACCATCATTTAGAGGAAAAAAAAATCAAAAAAGCAATCTGGTCATGACTAGCCATAGCTCAAAACATCATAGAGATGATTCACCTGAACCAGCTAGCTCTCCCCACTCACCCTGAAAGTAACACAGCCTCTTGGCCAGCAGCTAATGCTGTGGAGAACTCTCTTTTTGCATGACACTACAGCAGGCCATTCATTTTCCCTCCCCTCACACAGTATGTGGCATTAAGCTTACAGCAGAAAATAATGTTACTGCTTTCTTTGTAGACTTTATCTGAAAGTTTACCCTACATGCATCACACAGAGCAGGACGTGCTATAAGAACCATAGCACTTGTGTAGCAAATACACAAATGTTACATGCCCACATGGACTATAAAATCAAGACTTGGGATGAAATCAAGAAGCTCATTATTAAAACAAATATGAAGATGGCAAGTAAGTGGGTTGCATCTTTTGAAAAAGTCCGATGCATAAACTGATTAATTTTCTTAGAAAGAATTTAAAATGCTTGCTGTCACTTTCAGTATGTGTTGAAGCAGGTTAATTGTTCCTTCTCTTTTGCAGGTGTTTGGTAATCTAGAACTCTTCCAAAATTAACAGAAAAGTATTGTATTGTCTTGATTTCATTGGGATTATATCAACTATGACTTGATTGACAAGGTAGTAGAGCTGCAGTCTTAGAGAATTAAATATTGGAGGGAGAGAGCAACTTCCTCTGAAATTTTTATATGGGCTACACCTGACACCTGCTAAGTCTTCTCCTTTTGGCATTATCCATTCAAGCCTTTCAAAGGCAGTCAAAACTGTGTCAGCAACTGACCCTACCACAAATCATTTGCCAGATGAGATAAAAGCCTCATGAATCTATTGTACATTTCATGCAAAACAGCAGAAATCCTTATTGCCCTGGTGGGCAAATATTTATTTGTTGGATTTTACTTATTTTCCTCTTTAGTATAATTGGGATCATTACTAAAACTGCCTCAGCAGCTCAAAAGAATTTAGAGAATGTGGTTCTTCTGAGACTTGAACTAGGATATGTCATGGTATCACAGAATGGATTTCAAAGAGATTATCTGGTCCAACCCCAAGGATGGAGACTAAACAAACTGTGCATGACAATAAAATAAAAATGTATTTATCATAGACTACTTTTGTCATGTAGGTGTCAAATCAGAGGGATTTCAAGAGTCTGCTCTGAGGGTTGGATGCTTTTTTGTTCTGTTGTGGATTTTTCTTCTTGTAACCTTTAGAAATAAAGGTAGAATTGTACACAACACTCCAAAACTGTGTTTTCTAATGAAGACATCTGGAAATCCCTTTGCATCCTTGAAAACCTAAAGGAAAAAACACATGCAAACAACTCCACTATCAAGCTGTACATAATATCAGTTGATTACATAATTTATGTGATTTGAAGTTTAATAATTCAGAAGAATCTTCTTTTTTTCTCGGCCACAAAGTACAGTTTTGTCATCAATGTCAATGAGGCTTAAGTCAGTATGTTTTTACTGACAATTTGCTGGGCTTTATGTTGACAATTGGAATTTAATTTTTTCCTAACTCAATACAGTTAGATTACTACAGAGACTTCATTACAGCCACAGGCAGGACAGCAGCTGAGGTACACAATTTTCTCCCTGTGATGCCAGTGCTTACTAAACACTCACTGAAAAAATTGTCTATAAAAGGACAATAAATGTTTGCATCTTGGATATTTTTCTCCTATAAAATTATCACTTCACAAAAATCAATATCAGCCACCTGATACTATTACCATTATTACTGAGTGTGAGCATTTATGGCTGTTCTACTCAACATATTTAATTGTAATGTTCTCTGCACAATGAAGTTCACAGCATGTTAAAAGAATAAATAATCATGTAATGAATAGAATCATACTTTTTACAACTGTTCTGTGACTTGAAATATTTTTAAATAATAATATTGTACGATACTGAATTTTCAAGGAAGCTGGATTCAAATCCAGCTCAGGCTTGATGTTTCTCTAAAAATATGCCTTTCTAAGCTACATTTTCATAACTGAACCACATTTCAGTGCATTTTTAGTGTATTTTTAAAAGAAGCTTTGGTTCAAAAAACTTATTATTTCACTTTATTTTACTCTATAATTATCCAACTGCATGTGGTTTTTGAGAACAACTTTTTGTGGTGCTCTGTCTAGCTACACTGACTATTAAGGACAACCTTAATCAAACTAGGTGGGATCACAGAAGTTTAGTAACAGCAACACAGGATTCCATATAGCTGAGCTGTCTAAGAGAAAAGCAGATGCCTAAGGAGACAACTGCAGCATTCTGCCCTAGCAACTGTGATAGGTCTCTGGACTTTATCTCAAATATTCCTTCTGCTAGACAAAGCGATAAATTTTGTCTTACTGAATAAATTCTAAAAGACTAATAAAATAGCAAAAAGTCAGGAAAACTACAGCAAACCATTGGATCCCATTTTAAAAACCCATGACTTTTCTCTTAAACCCGGTGGGCCCTCATCCCTGTTGCTCTACATATCACAGTAAGGCACAGCACATTCACAAGTGCTAGGACCAGCATTT